ATAATTCATATAGCAGCTCTCTCCATCCAGAGGGACATCTAGAGACAGAATTAAACGTCTCACCTCAAACTTCCAGTCTGAACGTGGGCCAAGCATTGGCTGTGGAAATTTTTTTCTAATAAGGGCTAATTTGGATGTCACCATCATAAACTCACTTCACTTCTAATGCACTCCTGGTTCTACACAAATTCCTTTTAAGTGTAGGATATCCAGGCTGGATATTAAGTATCAGCATGGAGCCACTACCTGTGAGATTCTGAAAGACCTCTGAGTGTCGCTATCTGTCTTTTCAAGCAGAAAACCTATCCCTTACCTTAATCTCTTAAATAATATTATTATTTTGTAATAACAAACTGTCTCCAAAATTTCTCCATTGAATATGTTCACCTCTTGTCTTAATTTCTCACTTGTACCCTCTCCTCATGAATTTTGAATCTATTGCACCAGAAAAAAAAAAACACAAACCCTGAGTTTAATCACAGAAATTTTGCTGATGCATTAAAAAAAAAAAAATTAAAAAGCATGTCTGCTGAAAGCAAACAAGGCAAAAAGCCCAGTTTCATGGGTTTATAGAGAGATGAGAAAGAGAGCAGTGATATAAATATTTGAAACCTCTTGTCTCCAGATCAGAATGCAACTCAGATACATAAGGATTAAACTCTGGTTGACTGCTACTTCAGGTGCATTAGTATAGCTACTTAAAACTGAGTAATTCCATCAAAGGCAAGGTTCTTCTGTTTGAAGTTAGACAAACAGGTATTGAGCAGCATCAGCTCCAAGTCACCATTAGATGAATAGCATGCCAACGTCCCTGCACCATTAATAGCAACACTCAAGAGCTTGCTGGTATTTTTTTTCAGAATACTTGAAATGGAAATGGCACTCATTGTACTCTTTTTAAGACCATTTCCCTCAATCGCTTATATCATGATGAAGAAGAGCCAACTCAATCACACAGGGTAAAGAATAGTAGAGATAAGGTAGATTTGGCCAGATAAAGTCAGGCCGAAGATAATGTGAAATATATTGCTATTTAATACATTAGCACTGGAAAATTTGTAGGCAGATTTCTACAGAGGAGCAGGCAGGGCACGGTCTAGTGTACATGCAGTATAAAGTGCAGCACTGAAAGGTGCTGGATGAAGGAAGAATTTGGTAAACCCTCGACAATTCACTTAACAATAATCAGACAACAACTGTGTACTAGCCAGGCAATGCACTAGAAGTCTGGATTTCCCTCCCAGTACCATACCTGCTCTAGAAACAATGGATGAAATAACCTCCAACAGTTTCAGACCTTCTGAGCATATGGCCAGGATTTTTATAGAGTGAAAATACAGCAGGTGGTACCATTAACTAACAGATTACTTGCCTGGCCCTCCCTCATGGCATCCACCAGGTCTTCTGTGACCCTGACACTTGCCCATTGTTGAGTCTTAGCTAATCCCAACACCCAAAGAAGACCACTGTATTCCAAGGCTGCAGGGCATGTAACTGCACCAGGGCCTATGAGACTGAACAAGTAGCTCCTCCATGTCATTCTTCAGAGTCATCCCTCCAATTCCCTGTCTAAACTACTCTGGGATTTACTTCACTTGTATCGTTTTGTCAATCAGTCAAAGAATTTGAAAGTTAAGGACTTTGTCTGCTCCTTTAGTGTTTCATTTGTTTGGCTGGGATTTTCTTTAATTAAAAAAAAAAAAAAAAAAAAAAAAAAAAAAAAAAAAAGGAAATAAGATTTCACTCTTTACTTATCTATTTCCTAACTACCTGTACCAAGGAACAAAGACACAAAACTTTTAAAATCTCTAAGAGGTTTGGGGCTTTTTTTTCTTTTAAAGTTTAGCATTTTCTAGCAGTACTATTTCCCTTTCTGTGCCAATTAAAATGGCTCTGCTTTGTAACTGATAAGGATGCCTTTAACACATGCCCACAACAAGGAGCATTGTGTGCTGTTACAGTTGTTCAATAGATGCCCAGTCTCAGACAGATGGTGCTTTATCCTCACCCACTTTTTAAGACAGCATAATGCATTGTCCCGTCAGGGATTAATGGAAGTGCCACTCACATTAGATGCTAATTCTGGTAGCAAGTCTGTTAGTACACTACAGATGCTACAGCTACTATTTGCAACTAGTGCTTGAAGTAGGCAGTCCACACTGGAGGTGATTGAGGACGTTCAGAAACCAAAGTGAGGAGCACAGTGTAAGAATCTGTTCAGAATGCAACATCAAGGTCAGTGGGAAAGAGACATTTAAAAAAGAAAGACAAAGATGATGGAAGAAAGAAAGAAAAACACAGAGAAATAGTAGAAGAAAAAAAGAGGACTGAATATTAAAGTAGACAAAATAAAGATCAGGAACCAAATGGAAGGTTAGAACTAAAGATCCAACACAACAGAGAAAGTGCCTTTTCTCAGTAATGATCAACCTCACATCATCAAAAGATCAGCACTAGAATGGTGTCCCATAGTAGGGAGAGGAGGTGTAACACAGGACATAGAGTGATACCAGTGAAGGTACATTATTCTATAGTTGGATCTTGAATGGTAGTGCACCCCAAAACATTACTGCCTTATAAAACTACGTAAGTGTTTAACATATTGGATAGGCACACAGTTGAGCATTGATTATTAATGAAAATAGGAGTCTCAAAACTGATTCTAGGATACATACTCCAAGAACAATATACCAGGAGATGTCTGCATAAACACTATAAAAGACAGACAATTCAGAGATAAGTTTTCAGCTCTCTCATGGACCCTCTCTTTTTTGTTTAGGTAAGAGATTTGAGATTTAAGAATAATTTGAGATGCTTCCATACATGCAGTCCCAGTGAACTGAGAAGCATCTAGGCTCTAGAAAAGGTTATGCTACGGCCCCTTTATCACATTTTTCCTTCTAATGCTGTGCTCATTTACCATGGTCTGTATGTGGCATAGTGGAAAAAAGGAAATCCAAGTATTAGACCTGAAAAGTCACCGGGATATGGGAAATCTTTTGCGTTTGAGAGAAGCTCCTACACATCTCACATAGATGACAAGTCCAGTTAGATACTCCATGGTCACAAAACATCTATTAACAAGCAGTATCATGTCACTAATCGGTGAAGGGCACATAGGCCTTTCACTCTGATTTAAGAGGAGGTTTCTTATGAGAGAAAAGGAAGAAAGGAAAGGAAGAGGCTATTCAGAGATACTGATCAAACCTGAAAAACCAGACCTTGGCAGCAGATGGTAGATGGCAAACAGGAAGTTTTCGTACAAAAACTAGAATAGTATAAAAACAGTGGAAAGAAGGAAAGAATTATGACAGCAGAAAATTCTAAACTTTAAAGATATGCAAAGAAATACATATAGACTGTCTGTTGCTGCATTAATAGATAAAAATGAAGCAATAGAATTAATTCAAGGGAAAAGAAAAGCAAGAGCAGCCTATCACTAACAAGCTTATGCACTGAAAAGCAGCTTGAATCCAGGTCCTGAAATAACAGTATATTAGACCATAATGATTTCAACTTTCCTCTGAGAGCTGAAGACGTGAGGCATGTTGTTAACTTCTCACAAGTCTCCTGTACTATGGTCATGGTAAAAAGTAGATGAACTATTAAACAGGAAAATTCCATATGCCTCATGAAATCAATGAGCTGTAAATCATAGGAAGCTAATAGGCTACACCAGGAAATTAAACCTATATACTTCTGGTAGTCTCATATTCTTACTTGTCAGGTGATCCACTACTGTCAGACACTAGAAATGGAATAGATGGGCTACAGGTATCTTTGGTCTTACATGTTTGTCCATTTTCATGGCTTTTTTTATAACTTTCTTTACTAAGAAAGGACTTGTCAAGGAGATGGAAGAGAATTTATTAATGACAATATTTTTGACAGTCACTATACTGGACTGAAAATCTCTTGGCTGAAGCCAAGGCTAATTTAGGCTGATACCTAACTAGTCACTCCACATTCCAAGTTAACATAGTTCAGTGACACACTTCCAGGCTCAGACCTCCTTACATCTCCACTTGCAACAGTCCTTACTATTCCCGTCTGGACCTTTTTTGAATAACACTTACCACATTGGCCAGAAAACTTGCGGATCGTGTGACTGCATACAAATTGAATGCCAGAAGAAAATAGATATTTATTTCTTTTTAGGCCCCAAATAGTATTCCCAGTTCAGTTACATGATGAATTTGCTCCTTGCAGTCAGTCTCCCTTTTTTTTTTCCTCCCCTCCTTATGCAACTCTGCCAGTGCAATTACCACCCCCATTACAGTATGCGTCTCGATTTCAGTACCAATGCAACCACATTTTAATGTATTGCACAGGGGTATTTATAGCACCTAGCTCTAAGAACTTAAGTTGGTCAAGTTATTAATGAGCTAATTACCCAAAACTCCCTCTTTAGAACACAAGAAAAGATCAGACCCTTCAGTCTCCTTCTGTGCAAGCATATTACCACAGCTTGCAACACTTGCTACTTACCTTGCTACTTTTACATGTAGAAGCTCCTGGCTGCACTAAATTCCATACTGTCCTAAAAAATTTACTTTACGGGAAATGTAAGATAATGTGTATTCAAGACTTTAAAGCACAATAGACTCTCCTGTCAGCTACAAAGATGAAGTCCTGTAAGAGTTATAAAAGATGTGCTTATCTTTACAAAGAACATATATCTTCCTTTAAGCCCACACATCATTTTCCATGGGTGAAGCCCTATACAGTTGGGTGAATAAATTGTAAATGCTTGCAATTGTTCCATTTGATTAAGCAAGACTGATTTCACAAATAACACCAGCTTAACTTCTGTCAGTCCAGACTAAATCAACCAAATGATCAAACGCTTAATGTCTAGGGGTAAGCAAAGTTTGATCAAGATCAAAGTTTCATTTTTACAAAATCATTTTTCTCCACCATGAGGGTGTTAAATATAGCTTACTAGCTATTCTTTGGTCTCATTTTTAAAGTGCCATTAGTATCAATAAAACAGATCTTACCTTGATCTTCTGAAGAAACTGGTGACCTGGAATAAAACAACAAAATTCAGTCAATCTTTGGTAAAAAAAGGCCACCAATAAAGTTCAGTCTCAGTGTAGGACATGGGATACAGACTAATTTGAAATTTTTATTCTTTATTTCTTAGAAGAGAGGACTGAAAGGCACTTGGCAAAAAAAAAAAAAAAATAATAGAGCAGAAAAGGCCAGAGACCTAATCTAGCAGCAGGTTTTGCAGGCCAGAATGACCATATGGAGCCATGTCCATGAGGACTGATGCCAAGAGTGTCGGTAGATACTTGGCAAAAAACTCATCTACTACTGTTACTGCCAGGAGAAAACCTCCCAAGTAGGGGTGGTCAAGGAAATTACATCTCAGCAGGAAGTCACAGTCATTACAGTGGCCTTTTTTTTTTTTTTTTTGCCATAAGTCAATGTAGTGGCTATCATAAAACACTAGTCATAATTAATAACAGTTCATATCATCTTCACAGAAGCAACAAAACAGATTTTTTTTAAAGAAAAAAAAAAAAGTCTGGGCAGATCTAAGTACAGAAACATATCAGCAGCAAGACAAGTTATAGGATACCCTAAATGGTGGATAAAGCCTCTGATAATACTCCAAGAGAGGGAAGGGATTTAAAACATGAGGGACCTCTCAGTGCCCCTGCTGGTAAATTGAATTCCAGGAATTTGTGTCACAGTTCTCATCAGTAAGGATCACACTCCTCATGGTTTTGGTCACCACCCACAACAAAGGAACATAAAGAGGCTTTAGTACTGACCCTCCATTTTTCCTTTTGCTGCAGAAGCTTGGCTTAGCAAAACTGGGCCTAACTGTACAGACGAATCTGGGATATACCTTCATTATTTAGATCAGATTGACAGCATGAAGGTGACTGGACCATTGCCTCAGCACTTCCCCAGGACAGATTTCAGTTACATACATAGCTTTCCCATCCAGGTAACGATGAGTTTGTTCCTGCGGTGAAGGGGGCAACCCACATTTCCTTTCCAAGATATTTAATTTGACAACAACGTACAAAAATAACAAATTACAAAAGATTTAAAAATGTTAGTGTTGCCAACAAACAGATCAAAGCTGACATAAGAAAAGCAGCCACAGAGGGGTGAAGGAAAAAGAAGGAACAAAGGGGAAAAGAGCACAAGTATATTTAACTGACTCTGCAGAGGCTGAGGGTTGGAGGGGGGAAAAGAAGGGGTAGAAACCCTGGGTTAGAGGAATAAAGAAGCTGAGGAAGGAGTCATGATCTCATTTCATAACAAGGGTCTGAAAATTAGGGTTGAGGGATTATAGAACATCAGAAGCAGATACAAAAATATTGGATAAATGCAAACAGAAAAAGTGTAAAGAAAAGAAAGAAACTTTCCTGACAAAGTATGCAGGGTTTTTTTGCTTTAAAAAAGAGAAAGATTTGCAAACACAGAGAGGAAAGAGTTACAGCACAGCTGGAGCAATGGTCACTGTGAAAGGAAAAAATTTGATTGCCTAATTGAGATTCTGACTGCACAAGAAGCCTGTGTCTGTATGGATCAGAATTAATTAGTCCTCTACAGCCATTAAAGTCTCTGATTGCTGCTGAACATCCGAGGCAGGCATCCTGCTCTACTGCCAACCAGGCCAGCTCTGCCCTTGCACTTCAGCCCTGTCTGTGGAAGTACAGCAGGAGTGCAGACAACTGGAGGATTTAGCACGCACAGCTAGGACTGTCCCACTGCTTTGACCAGTTAGTTACAGACCTTTGTCCACAACCTCTAGCAGCAGCCCTTCTGAAGATCAAAACTCAACACACAGTGTTTTCTACAAGGTTAAACAGTGCAGAATGGGTCATAACAAGAGATGAAAATTTTTAGGTACTTAAAAATATTTTTACATGCAGGAGTCATGCCAGGTTCCTCAGCTAATGTATTGTGACTCTCCACTCATTGCTAATGCAGTATCTCACAGCATCAGCAGAATTTATTCCTTTGTTTTGTTTTTTAATTGCACAGTTTCATCACCTTTCAGATCTTTATTTGAAACAATAAAATAAACAACACATATTCTCCTATAATTTGGCTCTTCTTTATGCTTGGTAAAACAGATGTCATTAGTTCCTTAAAGCATCAACAACATGAAAGACTGTATTAAAACACCACTGCCTTTTCAATTAAAACATTGATTGAAAGGAAGTAAAATATATTTATGGATATTTAGTGTGCCTAAAATTAATATATATTTTTCAAAATATTACTGCCATGTTGCTTAGTTGCATGTCTTGAACATAATGTTTGAATAGGAAGATGTCTAACACTGTTACTGATGCTACTATCAGTGTTCTCAGTTGAAAGGATTCATCAAGTATCATTTGGAACCAAATAGCCTGGCATCCTGAGAAAATAGGGTTTATAAAACCACAGCATCTTGATGTGTACATATGCACCTCCCTGTCTCACCCTAATAAACTCTGAGCTTGTTGGCTCATGTTATCCATTGTCAACAAAGAGGTTAGAGAGTCAATTCCTGCTTTCATAAGGAAACAAAATAGCATAAGCTCAAACTTTCTGATGTAGCAGCACAGCCACAAAGAGAAGTTTTGAATATCTCAGCCACAGGAAAAGCCTCAGTGAGAGCTTCCACCATTGGAGATACCAAAAGTTCAACCTCAATAAACTGGGCTTTCTTTTTACCACTACAGACATGAAGTATTTTGGCAAAGAGCAGGGAGGACTTTCAAAATCCTCCTACAGTTCCAGGCCATACAATTTAGCATGGGGGAGGTTTTCCTAAATGCTCAAATATTGACCTAACTATACTAAAGGGACTCTTGCTCATAGCTGTAATGGAAGGAAGTGAGACTGCTGAAAAGCCCACACTGATAGTGTTGGGCATTTTATGCATTGACTAGTCTGCCCCATGCTCATGACAGGCTCTAAGGGAGGAAAGAAAGAAAGCGTAATGACCTGCTTTAAACTACATACACTCACTCCACAGTCACAGGGGGTTTTCCTGACAGGAAAAAAAATCCAGTGGATGCTCATATTTCCGGTCACACATCTTTCTCTCAGGTCTGTAAGAAGTGTGAGAGATATACTGTGGCAGCACTGGTCACCAGACAGGTGTCCCAAGAAGGGAGGATTCTCAGCTGCTAACATCCACAGACTAACCATCTATCTAGTGCCTGTCAGCTACCCTCCTGGTATGATTCTAGCTGTGTGTTTTACTGTCATAAAGAAACAAGTTATCATTCTCACAACTTCCATGCCTTAAAAAAATAAAAGAGAGATACTTCAGAAAAACTAATATACTGTCAAGATCTGTGACCTCACCTGGGTCAAAATGCTTTGCCAAATGACATCTTGAAGAGATTTGGTTAAACAAAACAGAAAAAATATTCGGGTAAAAGTTCAGGCCCTGCAATATCCTGTTCTTGGTATCAACTGTTAGTTTTTTCTGGTTTTATATTGGTGTAAAATTAACTCGGAGAAAGAAAGGTTTACCATCTCCCCAAGAGTAAAGACGGGCCAGATTGTCCGTGACTGGCTACATTTCCAGATTCCAATTAGCTCTTCTACCAACAATTTTCTCATGTGATTTTCTCAACCAATATTTTCTCATGCACAAATGAGAAGGGAAGACTGATTTTACATACTTTCATCAAAGGCATTAATCTGACCTTCCTCCTGCTCTGGTTTAACAAACAGCTATTGTTGTAGTGGATAGTTAAATCAAAGAGAAAGATTTCTATGATAGAAAAGGGGAGCAGAAGGGAGGAAGAAGAAAAGCATGTTAACACCTCTGTTTGCTTTCCATGATGTCATAGCCTTCCTTTCTTATGGGTCCTGCAGTAGTGTTCTCCTATTGCGGAGTGGCAAACTCTACTCAGAGGGATACCAAAACTTGAAAGCCTCAGTCTGCAAGGGGAAGCTGTGCACTGTCTTCCACCACCCCCTACACAAGCAAAGCAATACCCTTTGAACATAACACTAAATGAACAAGCATCTCCTAGAAAATGAGGTACGCTTATTTAGAACTGCATAGAAAAGCCATAATAATAGTGTAAAGAGAATAATCATACACACACTAGACGCATCAAGCAAATTGGAAGTCTTACAACACTGAAGGCATGAGACATGCCCATCTAAAAGTGTGGCAGGCTTCAAAATTAACGGTCCAATGCAATGCTCACTGATATTTTTCCACTCACTCTTACAGCGTTTGGATGAATCGTTGGAAAAATCTAATCCCCAGTATAGCCAAGGCAGCCTTCTGTATCATACAAGCCTTCCCCAAACAGCCAAACACAATCAGAGCTGTTTCCAAGTGTACTCTCCAATGTGCAAGCACTAGATTTGTTCAGCACTAGACGGGTAGAAGAGGAAATGTTCATTTCTAAGGAGGTAAGCGTAGGGACTGTCACAATTTTGAGCCTAGTCAACTGAAGCTTAGCAACCTAGAGATATACAGCCAGTCTTCAGCAGACAAGTTCTAACAAAATTTCAGCAAATGGGTGCATTATTCATGAAGACAAAACCCTCTGGAGAAACAAACTTAGAGCTGATGTAAAGCAGCTATTTTAATCAATAAACCTGTGGGAAAACCCATCTGCACCAGGCCTATTTAAAACCAGCCATTTAATATTTAAGGGCCAAATAACAATCTCTGTGCAGCAATTCTGCAGGGTTTTATGAACATTCCCCTTTTTTCCTGCTTAAGCAATGTATTCCTGCAAACTTTTTAATTCAGTCTGACAACACTGACAACAGCTGTCTATGATGAGGGGAGAGGAAGAGCTGTCAGATTAAACCAATTCCTTCTCATTTTACATGTACATCTCTTCAGAATCAAAAGTGGCATCCCTCTTGGGATTTATTCACATATTCCCTGATTGCAAATGAAAATGTTTAGCATATTAAGTATTTTTAAAATAAAGGTGAGGAAATCCTCTCATTCAAGCAATCTGTATCAATGCCTCTGGGATTATAATTCCCTTGCAGACCCAGCTGCAGACAGTGTATCATATTTTA